CCAAACCTGTCGAATTTCTCAGTTGTCATAGGCTTACATTTCCCCATGTGATCCTTTTTTGGTACTAACAATCATATAGAAAAAATAGCCTGTAGGCTCCGACCGTACCGTAAAAAATGTCATAATTACATTCTGGTAAAGTTTTTTTCTTCTTTCTTTCTTCCAATTAATCACTTTTCCTTTTTCATCCTGCGAACTACATTTTCTCTTCCTTTTTTCCTCCTTCTTTCGTCTTTTCGTAATAGTCTAGGTAAAACTCCATCTATGTGCCATGTACATAGCATTCCTTTGGGACTGTCTGGATTTAAAAAAAGAAATGATCGATTAAGTTATCGAGTAAAATCAATATTTTTCTCTACAGCTGTACAGGTACGACTGATTTGACTGGTTTTGGAAGCTGTCACTATTCATTACTGAATCGAGCCGTCACTTTTTCTGGTAATTGTTACAGTTAACGATCACTCGTTCAGAGCCAAGCACCTTCCTATTTTCCTTTGTGATTTTCTCGATTACTCTCGAGAATTCTCCTATTCGGTAGCCTTCATTCACTGCAACTTCCTATACTTGACCTTTATGTTGAGGACCAGAATATTTGATTAACTTTCTTTTTCTCAAAGTTAATTTTCTCCAGTAAGTTCTTAGGTGCTAAGAATAAACAATTATTAAGATTATGGGCTAGAGAAAATAAATAAAAAGTACAGCAGTAATCAAATGTCTACCTATGCGAAATATGTCATTAGAATCATTCATTTCCTCTTGAGATATTCACTGATCAAAGACCAGGCCAAATTCCAACCCACTCAAATTCTCCTTCCCTTAGAGGCACTAGAAATTGGATATCTATTGAAGTGACTCTTTCAGATGTTTGCATATCTTGGGATCAAAAAAAGGAACTGATCTCGTAATCTACGGAGGGTAGAGGCTATTACTATAATAAGGAAAATAAAGGTCAACCGTAAACTGCAACTGGCATTTACCTGTCGAATTTGACAGATTTTCCTTTGGCTGTTTTGGATTCTGCAGCGCCCTATAGAAACAACTAGTGGACCAAGGTCGTCAGAAAGGGCCAAATGAATTCCTTTTTCAATAGGGTTCTTAGAAGTTTCCGGACTTTTTCCGACAGCACTTCCCCAGAAGTGTTCGGTTCCAATGTTCCGTAGTAGAAAAGCACCGACTTGTAGATCGGCTGGCCACCGCACTAATCTTCCTATAACCCAATCGCCAGGAACCAAACAAAAGTAACGTTGAAACCATTTCCCGTGAAAGTTTCTCAATCGTCCCATGTTTATGTTTACTTTTGCCTTATTAGGTATTATTAGGTGCCTTATTAGGGGTATTAGGCCTCATCCAGGCAGCTTTGTAAACATTATGCAACGCTCGTGACCATTGCAACTTGTGCACAACAAATCTGATAATTAGTAAACACCGTTGCTAAGCATTGCAATACCCATGTGAATCCATTCACCCCATTTGGACTACCGACAGTTCGTTTCAGACTCCATTTCTCCAAACGGAAATCTTCTAAAGCCACACAGCCTGTTCCAGTTAGCAAAAAGGCACACTAGTCACTATAAGGAAAAGTAGGCAATTCTCAAGGAGACGATTGTTTTCTTGCTTCTCTACCTCAATAAATGACTATTCTCTTTGGTAGAATATTACGTTTGAGGATGTTCTTCATCAATGTTCCCTGCCTCGCCTTCTGGGAATGAGTTCTAACCTGACGGGTGCATACTTTTATTGAACGGTATTTCAAGAAACATCTTCTTCCCAAGTCCTGCCAAGAGCATTGACGCCCTACAATTACCAGGAACTTTATACTAATAACTAATAGAGAATCTGATAGTCAAAAAAAACCAGTAACCATGTTAAGTAGGACTCCTTCCTTTGGCTCAGATCATGCCCTATTGAGTGAGCACTGCTAATTCTCGAAGTCATCCCAATTTCATTCTCATCAACTTGTCTTCTGATTGGCCATCAGTACAGTATGAGGCCACCTGCCAAAGACTAAACTCGATGCAGTCTCTAGGCCTAGCTACCCCCNCCCCCTGGACTACTGGCCATGCCTATCAGGAACCATAGTCATCTAGGCCCAAGCTTGTACTTTGCGAGGCTCACTTCAGCTGGACTCCCTTCCACCTTTTTGCAGCCTATCACCCCATGTGTGGTCAGGCCATAGAGATGGCCAAAGTTGATGCCGAATACTCCATCGAGGGATCATAGAAAATGGATCCGTCCCGAATCCTGGTATCAAAGTGCTCCCAAACGAATCTCAAGCAAAAAAGACTTATTTGAGTTTTTCTTGACCTAACTGTCGCTTTGTGCCGAAGTTTTGGAAGATAATGATCTTTGGCGCTCTACAGCTCTTATACGCAATCGTAGTCGACACAGTTTTTAGCTGGAGTTCAAGTCGTTTCAGAAGGTTCTTGTTTTGCCGAACGTTTCATAGTTTATTTATTTATTTATTTATCTCCGCACAAAGGCTCGCTCTAAAAAACTATTCACTTATATAGTATTTCTTGGAAAGCGTTTTCGGGCATTTCATCGATATGCTGCTCATTTGGGCTTTTTTATACCTACTATCGAGACAGAGAGTGAATGAACTCAGACATTCATCGATCCCTTTTTGGGTATGCACCCCACGCCTGACTTCCATTCAAAATCGTAGTGATGTTGTGATCGCATATGGGGCCTAGACAATGGTTTGCGGTACCCAATCAGTCGACCAGACAAAGCCAAGCTCTCAGCCTTACAGAGTGTGGTTCAAACTAATCCTCGGAAGGCAGGGTTGGCTCGGTCGGGTATCTAACAAAGATTCGATACTCGGACCTTGTGTGATTCATATTGCGCCGCTCGCCAGTCCACCACCTGCGCCTCATAATTATTGGACTACGTTTTTCATGAATAGAGCTATTAAGGAGTGATGTAGTGAGAGCTACCATTACGGTACTGTGTTGTCGGAATCTTAGGGTACTGTTTCATGGAATCCTACTTCGTATTAGTTGGGAATGAAAACGTTGGCAGGTTTTCCAAAATCAATTTTCTTGCTCTGCGATCACATTTTTACGAAAAAGCAGGAATTCATTGAACGCTAAATGTTGTACTCAAAAAGTGGCCCGAGCAAGTTGTTTTGACGATATTGGAACAAGGGTTTTGTGCGAACATCAACTGATAGGTCACAGTTGGAACCAACAATTTCCCTACCAATTGAAAACTGGCTATCCCAATGAAAACCGATGCATCCAATACTTGTCAGGAACTATCGCTTAATAGGCCCCACTTTTGAGGTTCGAATATTCAAAAATTCCGTAATCCCTGCAGAAATAATATTCCTTTTAATATATATTTACTAATGTATCCTTCAAATTCTCCTTCAGAATGAGCCATGCATTCGCTGGACTTCTGGTGGCATATTATTTCGTAATTTGTCAATACAGTGAATTGGGTAACCGCGATGTCAAAGTACAAAGTGCTCAAGTCTGGTCCCTGAACGAGCTTACTCTAGAGAGGTCGAAAATTTTCTATCTGGTATTCGATTTCTGATATGATAAGCTGGTACCACCACTCGATACTGGGAACCTTCCCCTTGCGGTCGAACAACTCGAAGAAACATGATGAATATAGTAAGCCTTGAAATAATTTTTGAACTCCCAGATTGGCACAATGATCCTTTCCTAAAGGAACGATGGGTAATCCTCCATAGACACAGGTATGCCCTTTTGAAGATCAGACTACAGAACTGGTGATTCCTAGTTTGTTGGAACGAAGTTCCGATGAATCCGGTCAGTTACTGTTCTGGTCTAGCGGTCATCCATCATCATCATACACCACATGTCCAGCCTACGTGATCATCGGTTCCCTTCACAATCGGGGCACTGTCCATGATCCTCGGTCAGAACTCCAGTTTTTTTTCTCTCTCTCTCTGTTCAAATTGCTGGGGTATAGCCCAGTTTCATAGGGTTTTAAAAGTAGGAACAATTGATGGGGTTCTTTACCCGAGTACTGTGTAGTATCAGCGATCAATCATATATCAGTCGTCTGCGAGTAATTTATGAACCTTATCATTCGATATTCGCTATTACAATCATTCAAATTTCGTATCGAATGGTTGACGACCATTACTGTACACCACGATCGATGGGTTGCTTTATTTCGAAATAATTACCAGGTTACTTTTATGAGGGACTACCTATATATCTAGGCTTGTTCTTCAGATTTTATTTGGGTTAATCATAATACTTAGCAAATAGTTCAACATGGAACAGGCCAACATTGAAAATCTTTACTTGATGCATGTCGAAGAGCCTAAACGTAGGCACTTGTAATTTCACTTGAATAATGATAAATGGGTGGGTTCTACCACCGACCCTTTGAAGCTGTGAAGGGGGAGCCGCCCCGAGCCTATACTGGTTATCGTTTACCTGACTTGTTGTAAAAAACAACTCCGCTCGTTGGACTCCCTGAACCCTAACGATGCATTCAGTCCCTATTCGGAAAGGAAGTCGTCCCGGTCTTCCTCAGGCAATGTCTGGAATAATAATTGATTTCAAACAACATCATTCCCGAATCAAACCTCTCTTTCTTCATTGTCCGAATTCGGAAAAAAAGTATGTCAACAAATAAACAAATAAGCGTAAGATATTGATCCACATTTCTCTGTGGAACCACCATAGAATTGAATTATAAGGAGCACGGTCAAGGCATAGATATTTGGTCTTTTCCGGTAACCGTATGTACTTCAGGATACCGTACTTGTCCATATTAGGAACCCACATCCTGCTTCCTCTAGATGGTCAATTAATAAATGAACTAATACAGTAGGACTCTTGCGATTTTTACTATAAGAATCAAAAACCAGTCCGTTCTTCTATGATCATCTCTCCAATCCGGTTCTTTTGGAGAAAGTTTAATTGGAATCTCGTGGTTACCTTTATCGTATCTATTTTGGCACGACAAACACCTTTGTTGCGTATGCTACTCTCCCAAACATCTCCATTTCAGAGATGATCTGTCTACTTGTGCTGTTTTCATTACTAGTCATCAAAGTGGACAGTGGTGCTGTGGGAGGTAAGTCAGATCCAAACCTGTCAGCTTAATAGCCCGACTCAAATCTGGCCAATTCAGAGTGTCGATCAGAGTGCGTCGAGCAGAATCTCTACAAAATTGTTCGAGTTCATCTGAAGGTAGGAGCTCTTAATACCGTAATCACGCTACCATAATTGATGCCTTGGACCTATAGACCGGGCATTAGACTTTATTCAAAATTACTTTTAGGATGATTTCGTGATGGCAGGTATTTGCAAAAATACCACTGTCTCTACAGGATCTCTATCCACAGTGATTCCATTCATATGTAATCGTCATCATGGAATCTGGACGTTGGACACAGAAGTAAGTCTATGGTTTTTCTTTTTCAAAAATTCTGGAAAATTCCAATCAATCCAGAAGCACCTCTTCCCAAGTCACATTTTGGTCTACGGGTGTTTCGGGGCAGTCAGAGTATCTAGGATTCGTTGCTAAGGAAGGGGAAGAACTTTTCCAAAATCTCCTGTCTCCTGAAACCAGGCTTCCATGCATGGCCCCTTCCTCAGGGTTTTCAGATTCATAAATTTCTAACATACCTTGAGCTGTCTATGTGCAGGTGTCACTAATTAGTAAGTTCAATTCTGATCGATTTAGTGGTCCACCAAACCTGAGTTCTAATGTTCTTCCCATTCTGTCTGTTCCTTAAGTTACTTTCTTGAAACAGGAAAAATCCATTTCGAGTATACCGTATCACTGTAGTTCTTGATGGTAATAGCAGTTGAGCTATGCATACTTATGCATTGCATTCTATGTCCAGGACCGCTCATAGACTTAAAGGCACGGTCCCCGATAAAAATTATATCTGAGATTCCCCCACAGGATGAATTTAAGGTCCGCGTGTATGCCATATCTGGCACTATTAAGTCGGAGAACGGCCTAGTTAGGGAGCTATAAAGGCTCAAAGATTGGCCCGTGTGTATCCTCGGACGAGTTTCACCGGCATTTCAGAGGCTACACTGATCACAAGGGAACCCATGTAGGAAGTTCAAACAACTTGTCATGACCCATAACGACAGTGAAAGGCAGTTCTGTACAGTTCTGGCTTGATGCAGTCAGCTCTTTGCGCAATTGCAATAACTGAAATCTCGTCCGAATACCCCTACAATGTAATTTCCGTCATGGCGATCTCGTCCAACCTCTATTTTCCTTACTTTTGAGGAGCCATATTTTTCTCGAAATCGACGAATTCTCTCGCTTTCTTCGCTACCAATGAACTATCCCCAATCTATACTCCCGCTTCTCGAATAAAAACGGGTAGCACACAAATATCGTGAACTGTGCTTTTGAAAATTCTGCAGTAACTTCATTAGGTGATAACGAATTCCCGTGCAAACAGACAGGCGGACAGACAGACGCGAGCGCTTTATATATGGTAAGGATTGTACTAATACGCAGACCCGTCACACGCGTTTCCCCTGAGCTCCAGGTAGGGTACATACTCTTAGGAGGCACTCGACTTCAACTCAGGATCGTATGGGCATTTTGAATGCGTATGTGGCCTACAAGGGGCGTGGTGTAGTCACAAGTCTCAAGACCATGCACCCGTCGTGAAAGGATCAAATCTAGGATCGGTTTCCTCGATGACCAAACAAGCCTTCCATTCGTCCGTGTTCGTCAACTGATGCCAGAATCGCCTGGGAGGAAATACATCGGCTAGCCATTGCAAGTCACTGTATAGGCCACATACGCATCCAATAGGTCTAAACGCTTCTGAATGGAAGTCCCGGGGGGGNGGGGGGGGGGGAACATTGATTAACTCAACCTTTAATCAAGTTCTTGCTGTCCCAAACGCTGCATCACCAATCCACCAAGCATGGCTTAGCTATTTTAAGAATTTGTCGATCTTTGGATTGTGTCCTAGCCAAAAAAACTGCTGCATATGTGAGACCGTCAGAATTTCCGGTGTTCTACACGAATCACAGGGAATAATGCAAAGTAGACACTATAAACCCCATGTTTTTGGTCGAATTGGGCTATCTTGAGACTTTTTTGTAAGCCTGCACAGATAATACTTATAAGTGGCTTATAACCGCATGAATCATAAGCTGTTCAAGACCATAAACCGTCCCAGTTGCTCCTACTTCACCCCCTCCCCCTCTCCCTCGGAAAAAATGTTCTTCGATATGCAGCTAGTGAAGCTCTCAAAGTACATAAGCTACAGCTATCCTGGATACGTCGCAGTGCCAAGTGTCGCCCTCCCATGCGCATGGTCCAGCGATCAAACACTGGACCGACACCCGCTTCGGTTCATTTTTTAGTTAACGGCTGAGTATAACAAAATCGTCCGAGTTACCTTGTCAATCACCCGAACTCAATCTGTCTACCACCCCCATCCTGTTAGAACCCAAACCATTCCGATGAACCCTAGAGAACGCTCGTGTAATTTTTTATGGTGTTCCGCCGAAAAATCTAAATTTGAATGAATTAAGAAGTATTACACTTTTCAAAGTGTATTCCCAGCAACTGCAAAAGACAGAGCCCATTTCAGGATGAAGAGGGAATCGTACAATTTCAAATTCGGTGCCCACCAAATGATCCCGTTCCACCAATACAGCTTGCCACATGTCCACGATCATTCTAACTTAACTTTGACGATTTCCTCTCTCCCTTGTTCTTAAGTCTGTTATCGCTGTGAAGTTTTAAGAAAAAGGATTCAAATTACATCGATCTCAGATTCTGTAAATAAAACATTTCAGTAACAATATGTCAGCGATAAATTTTTTGTTTTCGAATGTTCACATGACGGAATAAATTACTTTTATCACAGACAACTTTTTAGTACATAATTTCATTGATCACAAATCGATGAATGATATGAGTGAAGAAGGAAAACACAAGCAATTCCTAAGAAGGAACACTCGAACAAGGAAAAAAAGAAAACAAAAATGCCTTACAAACTGGTATCACATGCTCTACTTTGATTGGGAGTATCGAGTAGAGCTGTCTAGGGAAATATTAAAAACGAGTATAAAGTTAAAGACAATCTGGGACAAAGTGAAAATTAATTAATACAAAACAAATCGGGATCGTTTGACATCACATTCCCAATTGCTCTCTAAACTGATTGCTCTAGGGGATTAGAATACGGCTTTATTAGCTTCACAAGCAAGCCACAAACCAGTGAAGAGCAAAAGCCACCTGGTATGGCTGTCTACCCTACGTTGCAATCGACGAACCTACGAACGCCGAACTTCTTCGGCTCTCGAAACGACTGACTTTCGACTTCTGCTTTTCACTGACGCTGACTAGTAACGGAAGGGAAACTACCTACGCATTTGTGAACAAAGTATAATGCCAAGTAAGAGGACCAAAAGGCAACAATAAGAGTATCTCACTTCTTGATGACGCTCCAGTCTTTTCGTGGAATCTTTTGGAGGTATTTGATTTTATTGAACAAAAACTTATACCTGAAATAAGTAAACTGTCAGGTAAGGCTTTCAGTTAGGGATTGCCACACTCTGACCGACTGACTTGGGCAGAAATATACCGGTATTGGGTATCTAGCCCGGTCCTACAACGGCATTCAAACAAAAAAGAACCGAAGAGCGAGTTCTTGTCTATGTCTAAGCCATTTGACAAGTACTGTGATTTACTATTCTACATGCTATATGAAACCTATCGACCGACCTTGGAAGCATCAAAGGATTGCGCTGGTTCGAACAGCTTCAGCCTCAAAAGGAACTCAAATACGTTCTGTGAGCGCCGTTTTTTCATCCATTACAAACCCCACACTTGCTCAGCTTTTTGGCAGCTTAACTGTACTTCGCATGATGTGATTATCCGATTACCAACGTTGAACCGTAAAGCAGTGAAAAACACCAACAAGTTTGAGACCGTCCAACATTGAAGACCTTACCCTAGCAGGCCTTCTTACTAACAATAAGAAATATTCACATGGCGGCTCGCAGCAAAAAACAGCGATTGTCAAAACAAAATACCTCAAATAAAGAAATGGACTTGGAATTTCTGCCGATAATGCTAATGAATTTCCTGAATGCCCTTCAAAAAATAGGATTCTCACCGAGGAACATAGACCGGAGTAAAGCCTCCGTCCACCATCATGCCTTTTAAGAACAGTTCGATCGCAGAAAAAACGAAATGCTTACCAAATGAGACCGATTACAGAACATACAGCAACCGAAATATAATAACCATCGATTGCCACTTCGCATACATCACCACCGGCAGAACATTGATCGGCAAGCTCTTTCGTATTACATGCGTAGAGCACACTGAAAAACGGCATACTTGAATACGAAACATCAATTTACAACACAGCGTTATAGCCATTAAGAACAATGCTTAAGTCAGAACATTAGTCAGTAGTAATGTTGACCAGAAAAAGAGAAGGCCAAGTCTAAGACAGGAGAGTTCACACTCCTAAGCCTACTTCGTGAGTTATGAACGAATCAAAGGGAACACATCCGCCCAACCTATCTAATGGACTGTAATATGAAACGTCTGCCCTGAATAACAACGCCAGAAGTGTACAAACATGACTTTTCGACTTCTAGATATAAATGTAAAGAGTAGAACGAGATAACTTCTGCTACTATAATGCTACTAAAAACAAAATAACATAAGAGAAACAAAATAGAAAAAACTTATAGCGAGCAATGAACCTTTACAATAGGTTTTCTATGAAAAATCGTATGTCTCCGAAGGAACTCACTCTTTGGTTCCCTTGACAACACAGTCCTTATAAGTGAACCAATCCGTAACAGACAGTATCAAGGTAACCGGCCAGTTACCACCAAGATTGTTCAGGGTATTCAACAATGTCATGTATGTTCCTCCCACTCGTGGATCGGACACTTGAGCATTGAAAGCCATCATTGACACAAACATACAGTATGTTGCCACCTGAGAAAAAAAAAGAAATCGCTCAAAAAAGAAAAAAAAACTGTCAAGGATTATAAAAATGAAATCTAGTAAACATACCTGATGAAGTATGTAACCAAGTATCCAGATAGCGTACACCAAGTTATTAAATTTACCAGTTTCTAGTTTGAAATGTGGGGTAAAATACACCAAAAGGGCAAAGATTCCTCCAACGAACAACCTCAAAATATCACCATAAATTCAGATCACGGTGAACTAAGAACCGATCTTCTTGAACAATAGACTACCCTTAATACAAACCTGTAAGGATATGCAAGCAAGAATATGTTCAGCGGCCTTGGTCCGGCCGTCCATTTCCCAATCATCCATGGTAGTAAAATCTTAAAAATAACAAAGAAATAAGTACAAAACACAAAAGTGTCCGACTCTACTAATCTGATAAGTAGGAAGAAGAGAAATGAGAACTGACGTGAGTCTATTAAGTATGGAAAGAAACAGAAGTGACAGCAAAATTCACCTGCAAAGGTGTCAAAAACAAGCCGAAGCTGGCCAGCCTGTCTTTTGGTATTCCCATACCGATCAATTTTAGGCCAGTAATACCATCAGTAGCTGCGAAGGCAATCTGAGATCGTTAGAATATTGATGGCAGCAGTCCAACCATACAAAATTGAAAAGTCTAATCTATGGAAATGGCGATACCTTTCCTGTGAGTAGGATGAAAACCATGATTATCATGGGCCTGAGTTTGAGGATCTTCCACAGAACACTATACGTTTCTACGATACCGAGGTCCAGCTCTTTTTCGTCATCGTCCCTGCCCGCCCTGCAGTTTTTGAGCAAATAAAATATCTCCAGGTAAAGAAAAAAACGAAAAACTTAAAGACTTACGTGGAGGTTTCAAGGGAATTATCCACTTCCTTCTTGAAAATGAGAACTAATGTCGTTGAAACAATGAAGACCCAACCCCAGAAGAACACGAAACCTATAAACTTAATATTCGAAATAATAGTAAAAATAGATGCGAAAGAAAGCACAAGGTAGCTGCAGTAAAAAAAAAACGCTGGCTGCAATTCAAGCAATAGCCCCAACAACACGAACCTGCTAAATCGATTATCCCGTATGGTTTTTGATTATCGGCTGATCGAATAAATGTATTAGCGAAATCAGCCGACTCAAGTGATAGAAATACTACATTTCCAAGGAAATAACCAGCAGTTTGACCAACGGCATTGCATGTTGAAGCATAACCCACATTCTTCCTAAAATGGTACTAGGGAGCATAACTGCAACTGGGCAGCAACTAAAGGTAAAGCTAGAACGAAAGCGAGGCAAAAATAGGAGACGAAAGTTAAACAAAACGGATTAATCATGGTCAGCTCACCTTGAGAGAATGGTTAATGCCCAACCATCAACAGCAATATCTTGGGTTGCAGCGAGAAAATTCAGTGGTAAAAATATTAACATGAGAAAAAGTACATTAGGAGGAGCATCTGAAATCAAAACCACAGCATATAATTGATCGCTTATAGGGGGAGCAGCACGATTGCGGTCAAAATCAAACGGATTTACGAAAGTATAGAGAATTAGCTTGGGACCTTAAAATTTCAAAAGCTATCCTAACGATTACATGGCCTCAATAATTCAAGTCGTGCGAGCACTTACCCTCAAACAACTTACATGTTGAGAAAATGAGCCAGAAAAAGCTATTCAAGACGGAATAAATGGGAAGATGCTCATCCCTCCTACTCACCTGTTTCTTCACCCATGACATATGGCACTTTGAATGAAAGTACAAGCATGAATAGCCCAATAAGGTATTGACATGGAACCATCCATGATTTTCGACGCCCGATCCGCCGCCAATATACTGAATCGACAATGGGCGCCCATAACAACTTCATACTGTAAAAAGAAATCTGCACAATTATACAACATTGCACAATCCACGAAAAAANAAAAAATGTATTTACAAACCTAAACGGCCAATATGCGAAAGAAAACACAGCTTGCTGACCATAAGATACATGCTTACTTTGTAGTAGTAAGGGAATTGCAGCGATTAGGCCAAGAGGAACACCCTGAACACCCGTACTCTAAGACGTTAACGTTACAGTTCTATTCAACAACAACAACAACATTTACCTGTAATAAGTACAGAAACAATAGTAAACATATTGAAGAGATGTCCCCTCTCAGGGATTCCCTTGTGCGACTGAACCAGCTCCCACTTGAGTCGACGGACTGAAAAAGTATCGACGATTAGTGGGAACAAAATTAGCTATACAAAAAAGGACTAAAAAAATGTGAGCGCGCGGACCACGTCTACAAGTCATCTATTAGTACTGCTGCATAACTGACGATATCTTTATGACTGAGTCTGTCTTCCTCATCGCTTTTATCGGCTGCATGGAAAATCATCGGCGCATGGGGGCCGGCATCTGCTGATGAAAAATCCGGCTCATTTGCCATCACATCTTCGCTGGTCCGTAATTGTCTGTGGTTTCTTCGTCTCACCCGTTTCGCCATGGCTAGAAATTGAGCGCTCACAGGACACGGCCATTGATACAGAGAGATTCTCTACTAGATGAAAAGCAACAACACATGGTTACACAGTTGTGAGATGCGACAAGTACAAATAAGTTAACTAAGCATGTTCGGCAGATCTTGACTGATTCGGGGTTTGGAGATGTTGAAAATTAACGAGACCGGATGCACCAGTACAGTTGGATCTACAGTATCTTCTCACTCGCGAAACTCTCAGGTTACGGTTATAGTCGTCGAACAGCAATTCACTGTCCAGCCGTTCACGGTGCGAAATCAAGAATAGCAAAGCATAAGAGAGACACACTCGCTATAGAAATCATCACTTCATGTCCTCTACACTATAAGAACAAAACGTTCTCAGGTAAAGGCTGGCCATTCGCTAAATACTATCCCAGAAGCCTTCAAATCAAGCTGTGATGAAGATGCAGTACCATCTAAGCCGCCGCTAATGCCTGTATAATATTCACATAACGTGGCACTAGCCACGTCCCTCTCAAAACGCTTATCAAAATTCTCACGCATAATTCAGAGCATTGACGCCGAAGTGGGATTATAAGGTTGAAAATTGGCTGTAGGAGGATGTAGGAGGAGGCTGTAGCATCTTTCAATGAATTTTTGTCTCATTCGTTCACTCTATATTCATGATCGTCTTAAATGTCATCAGTTTCACCGCTAGGGGACGTACCATTTATCGAAAGAGCATTGCGAACTTTGGAATGTGATGCTTTCTTTATGTTACAGTAGCGACTTTTCATATTCCCATTGAGTGATTCGACAATGCTGAACATCATAGATCAGACAGAAAGGGATGAGGGGTGATTGGAGTGAAACAGGCTGATATTGGAGGAGTTCTTCGATCTTACCACCCTCCATTCAACAACTGCTAAACTATATTTATGATATCAACCCTAATAGATTGAAGCGCATCGTTTACAAAGCTCGAGACCAGTTGAAAGACAACAGAACTACTAAAAGCCGCAAATTTCTTTACAATTTCCACCCTATCCGATCAGTTAGTTGCCTACAATGAGAGAGACGAAGGGAGGGAGAGAGCAACAACCAAAATTGGCAAGTACCACAAAACGAAAATTCCATAAATGATACAGAAGTGGAATTAAAGTACAAAGTAAGGAACAATTGAAGAACTGAAGAGACCAGGGGAATCTGAATCACGAAGGGATCAAACATCACTCCATACCGCTGACCCCAATCGTAGCAAACTAGTCTCTCCACATTTCTTAAGACATGGCGCAACGCATACGTGGCCTGACGCTCTATATAGCAAAATCGAAAACCGTATTCAGCAAATTAAAATCCCTTCTCTCTGAATGCCTCGGCGTATTGTAAAACAGAATTGATCGGCAGAAAGATTCTATGAAAAACGCTACCATCCCTATCCGTTGCAGTTACTCTTCCGTTTACGGAATCAAGTACTCCGAGTGAATACAAAGTACTTCGTAGGAAACACCACAGCGGACATTATTCTCCTGCGTCGTTTTGAATCAACAAAAAACGGCATCGTTGGAGAGTTTCCAGTTGAGAACCGACACAATGAATTAGCAAGAAAAACGTGCATGGCGCCCTACAAGGACGACAAAGGGATGCGAATGGCAGAAAAATTACTTTTTTTCGACTGAAATATCGTACCGTACAACTAGTAACATGACCACATTTGAATGCAAGGCTGGATACCTTTCTTGCAAGGTCTTCGAATGCAACGATTACGTTCACGACGCAGAAATGGAAAGTACCAGCGGAGAGTGCAAGATCATTTACAAAACAAAATAATTAAATGATCGGAAATGGGATCGTTCCGACGTTACTCCACATTAGATGGATATGGTTAGCAGAAACAATGAAGGGCTCCATCGAAAATTGATCGGTCTACTTACAGGTACCTAATTTATCAGACATAGCGTTATTTGCCGTGTACCTTCGAATCCTATCGTATTCTCAGTAGTAATAGATAGGTGCGATAAAATGGGCGGGGTTTGTTAAAATCGATAACACATCTCGCTCTCTTTTTTGGGGTTTTGGTGTTTCGTGAACAATAGAAATCACTGCAGATCGCCTTTCCCAACAGGTTACCCATATAGATAACGGTGAAAACGATCTTTCTTGTTTAGCCGATACTGTGCCGATAGTGCGTTTCTGGGCTATTGAAAATGCACACATCACACATTTCTACCCATCATGATTCCATACGTTTCGCGACCAACGGCTCCCAAATCCATTTGAGTACACTGTCTTACAATCTGCCCACTCCCCACGGATCGCTTTACGTGGACAGTGTAAAAGTCGTTCTCTGCAGCCCAAAAAAAACTGCCTGCACCACAGAACGTCAATGACAAGCTCATAAATCATCTACAATTCAACAATCAATGATTTCTTGAACTATAAGGAATATGGCTGTGTTGGTTCATGGGAACAACTGAAACCATTTTCATGGAAATAATCACCAACGTCGCGGGGAACTTCCGTTCGGTCTAGGTGTCAAAATTCCCATTGACTTCTTTTAGGGAACACCCGATCCCCACAACGTTCATAGATCAGCCGATAGACCGCAGACAAAATTGCTTTTCCAACAGGCGTGGTGCTGTCCGTGTCAGATTCAACAATACGTCACAACGTATCGCTCACTGAGCCCATTACAGCCGGTACCACGTCAATATTTCCCTTTGAAGGTGGAGCGCCGGAGCATAAAAATGGCAAAGTGCGTCATTATAAAAGAAGAGAAGATAACGAAAACGAAAATATAGTAAAGATAGGGGGCTTCCTCCAGAAGTTTTAACAGTTCCGATGGCGTCTTGCTGATAAACTGTCCCGAACGATGAAGCAGTAACAGTAAAAGTGAAGGAGATGGAAAGAGACGGAAACAAAAATCGAACCCAAAGTAAGAGGGAACGTTTAACTAGAAATTTGGACATTCTTCTCAACAACAGGAAATGTAAACTGAACGAAATATGATGCCAACAGGATGCTGTAATTCTATCGCAAAGACGGAAGTTTCAAGTAGTCGGTAGATTTTAAGATCCTATGTCAATTACTAGTTGAGATATCCCCAAGTTACTCAAAAGAAAAATCGATACGTAAAATTCTATACCCCCTACTAAAAAAGGTATTCCTAATCGTGGACTAGCCGTGGAATGTAAGAAAGCGGGCCAAAAATGTAGATGTATTGTCAATAAATGACTCAAAAAATTAGAGGCCATACAATAAATGTCATGCGCTCCTATCTATTACCCCGTTTATTGACGAGACATCCACAAGTTTTTATAGGGTTTCAGATCAATTAATGTTTCCAGAAAAAAGTTAATGGCAAACCATAATAACTAAATATTTAAACAAACCAGTATTACTGTAAAAGACTGCAAAACCAGGAATGAAAAAAAANAAAAAAAATTCAAAGTGAAGAGGTAGCTTCCTCTGAAACCCTGACACCAGAAGGACCGCGGTTATCTCTGCTTTAGGAATCGGGATTTGATGGAAGGAAGCGCACATTCGGTTCACTCTCGCACACAATGACCTAGTTGAAACGAAAACGACTTAAAATTGCAAAATTCAGCAAAGTGCCAAGTTAAAATAAGAATTTTAACCACAAAATCAGTCAATAGATATGCCGAACAGCTCAAATAACTGCTTCATTGGATTAGGAAGCCATTAAAATCAATACTTACACCAATAATTATGCTATAGAACTAACCTACGGATATGTCCTCGTCTATGGTCAAAGTAACATCACGCATCAGTAAAAATCTCAAAATAATAGTCAAAGTAAATCAATAGTGGTCAAGAAAAGGATGAGATCTGCAACAGAAAAAGCAAGGAAGGTCTTATAACAAAGGCGAAAATGTCTAGGGGAAGATGTGAACATCGATGTTCCCAAATGGGAAGGTAATCAAAATTGGGAGAGAGATTAACTGTGGTTATGGCAACGTGTCCATGAGTTTCAACCGCCGCCCACATCAAACAACACAGAAAGCGTGAGCGCGCGCATTGTGTTTTGGCGCCTCGTCAGTTATAAAGCGAGCACCGTAGCTGTCCGTAGCCGGTAAGGGATAGTCGATGGGTCTCTAAAAGCTGAATAGCGCTCACGTGCTTACCTTCTTTTCGAACTTGGTAAAGGATTCCAAGTTTTTTTCATCCTTGACTGCTGAATCTAGATAGGTAAGCGTGGACGGTGGCACCGGACAGGTGTCAAAGTGTTCGAAACGATTCGTCATCGAATAGCCTTCTACAGATGTCTACGGCGTTGTTCAATCGTTCGTTGTTATAGATTAGAGGAGGATCGGGAATGGAATAAGGATAATTTGACGATATCCCGCGGGGTGCAGATGAGAAACGGTCTTGATCAGTGCCTGTCTGTCTGTCTGTGTGTGTGTGTGTGGATGTCTGCAGCAACTGGTTCTAGCAGAGCGTCCAGGCTCTCTCTAAAGAGAACACCTTTCCCGCTAGTTAGAATGTGGGCTGACGATAGTGAATGAGGACGAGAACAATGACTGACAGAAGAAACGACGAACCAATGTTCATGGTGAAACCGGATGACCCCCATTACGAAAAGGCACACTTTGTAAAGTATAGAACGAGATCTATAGGCATTGTTGTAGAACTACCCTTTGATTTATGTTTATGGTATCGCCCGAGCATTGAAGCCCGTGGGAAGAACTCAGTTAGCCTTGGAATCCATCAGGTTTCAAAGCTATTCTTCCCTCTGGGTCAGTACGACGCTATCGATGAATTTCCGTTTCTCTGAAAACGCGCGGGTCAGAGCGCTTGGTGGTAGCTCCTGTCCGTCAGACGTCAGCCATCAAGGAAACGAAAAAAGGAACGAAGAATATTCGAAGGCGTAAAATTCTAACCTTCGTATGTACAGG